ACTTGTCCCTAGAACCAGGGTCACCCTACCTTCATGTAACTAGGCAACAAAAGACTTGTCCCTAGCTCTAGGGTCACCCTACCTTCATGGAAATCAGTCCTAATTTTCAAAACCGTACACTAAATCAAATACTAATTACTAGTAGGCTATAACAGYGAAATCGGTATAGAACATACATTTGAAGAGTACTGACTTCACTCTARGTTTTGTAAATTTATCCAAATTTCATTTAAAACTCTAAGTGCGTATTCAGCCCCCTGTACGGGCAGCGGAACGCATTCAAAATATCCTTTTTTAGTTTTGAACTATATATCATTAGTTTTCTGTATTTGAATTCTTATATCAACAGTACACTTTACTGAAGGCGTCAGGTGTGTTGGACATTCATATAGCCGAGCTTCCCCATTCTAGATTTTTCTGTATGAGTGTCGGTTCTTAAAGTGACTGGACGAACGCGGTTGGTATATTTCAGCTGAATAGCATGCAAATTCAAAACACGGTGAATAAGTCGACTGTCAGTTTGGTGCTAGTGTTTATCGAGCAAACGCTAGGCCTATAGAAAGTGCGTAATTGGATGAGGTGTATTATTGAACTCTTGCTGTAGATTCACATTCAAGTATTTACAAATGGAAAATATTCATTTTCGATCTCTATCTGTTCGTGAGTAATTTCAGCTGATTCAAAGCTGAACAGAGATCAATAGCCTGTTTGGTGGATTTCTGAATGCTGAAGTTCTATATGAATTTGATAAGTGAATTTTGGGCGGAAGTGACCCAATACTGAGCTGAGCTAGTGCGGGCAGCAGCTCTTTTTAAACCATGAGTAATATTTTGCAATGTATATAGTAGAATTGCAAATTTTCAAAGCGATTGCCTACTAGCATCGTTAATCAAAAAAAATTCGTGAGATGAATATGGACTCACAAGGCTTACCTGACGTAGTTTATTTACATATAAATGTTGTCAAAGATGCATGTTCGTACGGTTGGTTAGATCTTTGAGGTACGCAAATGGCGACCTCGTCTCACAGAAGGTAACGAGTTTATTTAATCTTACTGCCAACTGTCAGGATCACCTTTCTTTTTAATCATCGCTATTCCAGCATTATCTCATTGTGGATAAAAACACTTTTGTCTTGAAGAAGGAAGAATATATAAGAATATCCTTGGCTTCAAATGTTTGAAATGGCGAGCAAATAGTAAACACACTTCAGTTGCAAAGAACTGTTACCTCTGAAGCCTAGAAATGAACCATCAAGCTACAAACTAGTACAATAGCTATGACTACAATAGTATAAGGGTCCATGAAGAATTTGGAGAGGCCTCCTGATTTGCTGACTGAGATTTCAGGATACTTACAAGTCGTCAGAAGCTTTGGGTAATACTTGTTCCAGAATGCGATGTTTCTAATGTGAAAATTATTTCGCATTTCAGGCTTTGCTGTGATGTTCAAATACGGATTGTTGTTTTCGTTGAACGGTGTCCATGTGCAGCCTGCTACAGGTTGTGGAGTAGGATTTCCAGTGCGCGCGAAATTCGTGAACAGGGAGATCATGATGGCGCTGACATTTTTATCATGTTCGTCGTAATGTTGGAGAACAGTGAGATTCATAAAAGGAAAACCAAACTCGTAGGGTGTGTCGTCTTTATGCGTCGCTCCTTTCCAAGATGGTAAATTGTTGCGGAGCTTGGACTGATGGCTGAAGACGAAGTGATATGCGGGCGCAACCTTAGCGTGTAGTTCCAGAATCGCATGGGCAGGGGCAGCAAAAGCAAAGTCAGTGACCAGGTCTATTAATCCTTGTCTTAACGTATGTTTGCTCTTGGTATCAGACCAAGGAGTGTACTGAAATAATACAGCGTCTTCGATGTGATCATCCAGTATTATCCTATCTTCCCAGCCAAATCTACGAATGGATTTGAAGAGACCAAGACAGCTTTTATTAAAATTTTCTAAAGAATCAGTTTTGTAAACTTCGTTCTCATTGAAGAAAAACGAGCCGTCATCACTCGTAACACCCACCATTAAAGGATAGGGATGGAACTTATTGGCTTTTCTAAGATTAGTAGGAGAGTCTTGCAAGAAAATTCCATCGACCACTGGGCGCCATGAATTYACATCCCCTTTAGTTTTATTATAAATTATCCAGGCAGGCACGTTTCGCATACAGGTAATCATATCTTTGCTTGTTTCTTTTGGGCAGTCAAATTTTTTAGCTGTTGCTCTTCCCAAGTCAGTTGCTTCCTTACGCGTGTTAACCGCAAAAGGAGCAAAGTCGCTTCCACTAAGAGCGATAGCTCTGTGGAAAAGTCCTGCACTGAGAGGTGACAGAAGTAGAAGACCAACACTGGAGCCACCCGCACTCTCACCGAATATTGTCACTCTCGACGGATCGCCTTTGAACGCTTCGATAGTGAGTTGAATCCATTTTAAAGCCTCGATCTGATCCAGCATCCCGTAATTTCCAGGTGCGGCGGAGTCACCAGTGCTAATAAAGCCAAAAGGCCCAAGGCGATATTGAATTGTCACCAGTACGACTTCCCACATGGGTAGAGCATCACCAGGGCTGACTACTGGAGATCCTGTTTCATAGCCACCTCCGTGGATGTAGACCATCACGGGATAGCGTTCATGCGATAAGGTAGTATTGGGCGCATAGACGTTTAGATACAAACAATCGTCGCTCTGTGACCAATTGACATCTTTTTTCCAAAACATTTGATTATAAGATGGATCCTGATAGCAGACTGGTTTGAACCGAGTGGCATCGTAGACTCCTTTCCAATGTTTGGGTTTTTGCGGAGGAAGAAATCTCAGCTCCCCAATTGGAGGAGCAGCGTACGGTACACCTAGAAACTTATTAACGACAGATATGTTTCCTACAGGCTGAGGAAAATACCTAGTTTGTCCCTTAAGCAGTCCATATTTTGTAGAAACGATGACTGCAGACGATTCTGACTCTCCTTGACAATGCTTCTCCAAGGTAATACAAATACAAATGAACACCAAAGAGTAGGATTTCATCACAAAATCCATCGTGTTTCCCGAACGCCTTTAAATCGTCAAAAATTGGGAAACGAACTTGCAGCCTTGAACTCTTTGTTAGGCAACCTTCTCTGGCTTTTCAATCAACGCTTCAAGCAATTGGAGTCATGGTCAATCGAGTGGGAAACGCACTGAGCTAATGATAAATCAAGAAAAATCTTGTTGCATTCGGGTCTTCAACTGACAGTGTACCTGCATCATTTGAACAAATAGCCCAACGTCAATTAAAGATATAAAATACTTCTTCTTTCATGTGCAAATCAACTGAAAATATCCGGAAGTTTATTAGCGTTATGAGGACATGATTATTGAGCTAATAGACTTTTATTCATTTAGGTTCGGTAGTGACCCTGTGGGAGACTTTAAGGTATGGTTCCACTTCTCACAACAACAAACCCTTAGGCTTCATTCAAGGCTCTTGCTATCTCAAATGCAATAAGCACCTTTTCAACAACTTGAATTTTGCTGTGAAGAAAACAAAATATAAAAGGCATTTAATGAAGTATATAAAAAACCGTGAMGAAAGTAAGAAATAAAAACTACTTGATGAAATAGGCAAGCGGCGCTTTAAATCGCATTGAAAATCCKTGAAGAAATGAATATTACAGAAGCTACACTGCATATGAAAATGTAAAGATCAAGCATTCTGCATGAAAAAAAAGATCATGTATAATATATATCCTTGCAATAAGTAACCTAACCTTGCATTTCTTTTTTATTCGATGCCAAAAATGTCGCTTTATGTTAATGTTCCCGCATCGATAAAAGAACGAATGTGTTGTTCAAATCAAAATGAAATAATGCTGGCTGGAAAWTTTAAGAGAAAAACGGCATTCGTGAGTTTATTATAATTAAATATTTTGCTGGGATTGAGTTTGTCTCAAAAGAGATTTAATTTTTGTCGTGCACTATTCAATATTTTTTCCCTTCAATCTCAGCCATTTTAGGGATAAAGGTACCTTTACTTTTTCCTCCAAAAAWGTGTGAATCTTTTCTCCGAGTCTTTTTTTAATTAACTTTGATTTCAGCAGTGCATTTAGTGAGTTTCCATCCAATTAGCGTGATTATAAAACCGTTCATTAACGCCTSATTTCAAATCATGACGAAGGGCCAATTAAAGAGCAGAGAGAGATTCAAGGTCATTTGACACGGCGCAAATACTTCCGAATCATGTGTGAGYTCATAAGCCTCAAAAACACATTTACCGCATCACTTGGACTACTCAAATRGAAACATGCAGAGAAATGGTTATGAAAAATTATAATTTCTTCCGCATTTTCTAGAATTTCCTCGCTACATCTTATAGATGTCATTATTCCAGATGCTTGCTTACCTATAGACAAAATCCAGTTGAATTGGAAAGAGTGGTGCTTGAGATATTGTCATTCCTTCGAAGCTTTCATGATCTCACGCACCACCTAATTGACACCTTATAATGATTATCGAGGATCGTTCTTGATTTCATCTGCTAACTTGTTTACTTTGTGGCTTTTAATGAGATAATAGACCAAATGGGTTTGGCTCTTTTCTAATGATAACAGCTGAGCAGTAACCTTTTTTGATTATAATTCGTTATTCCGAAAAWATGATACCCTACCAAACGAAAACCGCCTTTGCATCTGTTTGAAATCAAAACTCCAAAATGATGGTACGCTACAGTGACTTCTTCAAGCCTTTAACTGAAAGTGTTTTTATTCTTATTCTTTTTTACATATTAATCCACGTCATACCTTGCCTAGCAATCTTATGGTGTATTCTTTTGACCTTTGATCCAAAAAGGTTATCTTTTTGTGACAACTTTTGTGTTTAGAACAAAAAAAGGTGCCTGTTGAGGTCTTCCTGACTTGCAACTCGCCCCCTTTGGTATTTGGAGCGCTTTGCTAAACAAAATWTCAATCATGATCATAGTCTTGGGGATTTAGGTTCTTATATCAAGCTGTTTCCAGTATTTTGATATGCTCTGCCCAACAGGATTAGCACGGCAGTATGTCTGCTACGGTAATTAACACGGGATTTCTTTCCTATTTAATCAATCAAATGATTTCACTGAATAGTGATGAAACTAATCTACCTTCTAAATGTTAGATACGCATAAAAAAGAACAGTTCACTTGGAAGAGATTTCCACTCGCACAGCAGGAAGTGGTAAAATGTAATATTCTAGGACCGTAGTTCCAAAACAAATAAGCTTATTGTATGATAACAGGGTTTTGAAATGAATACTATCTCGGCACACACTGTCAGTTGCTTTGCTCAAAGTGTAAACAAGATTTCGTTCCGAGATCAGCTGCAGATTCAGTAGGGAAACGCATGCAAACCAAACTTTAAAATGAAAAATAAAAAAATATTTTTCTTTCATTTTTTTTTTAATCGTTTTAACGATTTATTGTTTGTTTTGTGACCTTGGCTCGGCTTTACATTTCTTTTAGCTAGATGATCATTGCGTAAAAGGTTTGCCTTTTCTTATATGAGGAATATAAGGTCAATTAGAAGAATTTTGCTGTGAAGGAAAAAAGATTAGGACTGAGAGGCCTTGAATGAATAAAAAGGAAGTCAGTATTATAATGTCTTTTCTACGCCGAACGATAATTTAAAAAATTCGTTATGGCCCTTCGCCATTAGTATCCAGAAAAGTCCTTGAGACGCAGCAAAGCAATTAGAAGACATTCAATACGCTCTATYTTTCATCACGGAATTTCTTTCAAGAAAAATCTTTACGTCTAGTTCATTGTTTCGGTCGAGTATGGAAATCACAAGCTCTGGTTGCCCGCGTTATTCAAAGCGAACCATTTTTCCTATTGGTGAAGAGCATATGAATCAGTATTTAGTTCTAATTTAGATTTGAAAAAACACACCCACGAAATCTTTATCAAGCCCCCGTGTCTCACACCTTGTACAATGAAACACTTAGGATGCTATTTTATTTTGACAAAAGGCGGTAAAAGCCTGGCTTCCAACCCTTGTTTTTACCGTGTTTTTCCTGACCACATTACACAATCAACATTGACCACRAAATTCATAACCGACATCAGTGGTAAAATCATTGTACGCATTATTAAGAAAGCAGACCGGACACTTGGTAGGAAAAAACAAATTGAAACGTGCAAAAGCAACAACATGAAAGAGCAAGAWAAAGCAGGTTTTGAAAACGTGAAAAAAATGATAAACAAAAAAGTGCTAAGGAAACAAGTTTTGTTTGGATGTGAATGTAGTTATTTGATTTTAGAGTGTTTTTGCTACAGTAAAGAGACCAAAGCAGCTGTTCTATATTGGTTTTATTAGATATTTTTGAACGCCTTTGAACTGCGCGAGGGTGTCTATACCCTCTGATATAAACACAGTAGCCAGCCAATTAGCGTCCGCGTTATATCTCAAATACATATTTTATAAACTTAAATCTGTACCCAACTTGGATGAATGGTTATTAACGAACCCATCCCTTTCTGCAAAACGACCCGGCTTTTTAAAGTAGTGTGTAATTATTTCATGGAAGTTGCGCGACCTGTAGTAACTCTTGAAGCCATTCTATAGTCTACTGAACCCCTTCCCTTCTGTCAAAAC